GAATAGCATTCTGACATGCAAGTAATCACGTCAGAGAGTCAATTCAGATTTGAACATGCTCACAACGGAGACTATTTTAGAACGGAGCATTCTCAACAGATACAGCAAGCGATACCGACATTACGTCAGGAGACCAGTGGCGGATAATTGAGATTCCTCAAGAGAAGCTAATGATACATCACCATTCCTCAAGAGACTAGCCAGTGATACACTGATATTCCTCAACAGACTAGATAGTGATACACTGACATTCCTCAATAGACTAACAAGTGATATACTGACATTCCTCAAGAGACAAGCCAATGATACACTGACATTCCTCAAGAGACTAGCCAATGATACACTGACATTACTCAAGAGACTAGCAAATGATACATTGACATTCCTCAAAAGACTAGCCAATGATACACTGATATTTCACAACAGACTAGCCAATGATACACTGATATTCCTCAACAGACTAGCCAATGATACACTGATATTTCTCAACAGACTAGCCAATGATACACTGATATTTCTCAACAGACTAGCCAATGATACACTGATATTCCTCAACAGGCTAGCCAATGATACACTGACATTCCTCAACAGACTAACCAGTGATATATTGATATTCCTCAAGAGACTAGCTAGTGACACACTGATATTCCTCAAGAGACTAGCCAATGATACACTGACATTCCTCAAGAGACTAGCCAATGATACACTGACATTCCTCAAGAGACAAGCTAATGATACACTGACATTCCTCAAGAGACAAGCTCAACGATACAGATTCCTCAAGAGACTAGCCAATGATACACTGACATTCCTCAAGAGACTAGCCAATGATACACTGATATTCCTCAACAGACTAGATAGTGATACACTGACATTACTCAAGAGACTAGCCAATGATACACTGACATTCCTCAAGAGACTAGCCAATGATACATTGACATTCCTCAAGAGACTAGCCAATGATACATAAGCATTGACATTCCCCTCAAGAGACTGTAGCCAATGATACACTGATATTTCTCAGCAGACTAGCCAATGATACACTGATATTCCTCAACAGACTAGCCAATGATACACTGACATTCCTCAACAGACTAACCAGTGATATACTGATATTCCTCAAGAGACTAGCTAGTGACACACTGATATTCCTCAAGAGACTAGCCAATGATACACTGACATTCCTCAACAGACTAGCCAGTGATACACTGACATTCCTCAACAGACTAGCCAATGATACACTGACATTCCTCAAGAGACTAGCCAATGATATACTGACATTCCTAAACAGACTATCTAGTGATACACTGACATTCCTCAAGAGACTAGCTAGTGATACACTGACATTCCTCAAGAGACTAGATAGTGATACACTGACATTCCTCAAGAGACTAGATAGTGATACACTGATATTACTTAAGAGACTAGCCAATGGTACACTGACATTACTCAAGAGACAAGCCAATGATACACTGACATTCCTCAATAGACTAGTCAATGATACACTGACATTCCTCAAGAGACTAGCTAGTGATACACTGACATTCCTCAAGAGACTAGATAGTGATACACTGATATTCCTCAAGTGACTAGCCAATGATACACTGACATTCCTCAAGAGACTAGCAAGTGATACACTGACATTCCTCAATAGACTGGCCAATGATGCACTGACGATTTCCTCCAAATGATACACTGACATTCCTCAATAGACTAGCTAGTGATACACTAACATTCCTCAAGAGACTAGATAGTGATACACTGATATTCCTCAAGTGACTAGCCAATGATACACTGACATTCCTCAATAGACTAGCCAGTGATACACTGACATTCCTCAATAGACTAGCCAGTGATACACTGACATTCCTCAAGAGACTAGCCAATGATACACTGACATTTCTCAATAGACTAGCCAATGATACACTGATATTCCTCAATAGACTAGCCAGTGATACACGGACATTCCTCAACATTAAAACCAGTTGTTTCATGCCACTCTGCATATAACAGACACTGCATCACGTGTTTCACCTTCCACATTACGAACTGTCACAAAGGTATTTGACCACTACTGCTGCTACTCCCAATAAGACTGTTAATATCGTCACAACTATAACTACTACTGCTACTACTACTACTACTACTACTACTACTACTAGTACTACTACTACTACTTCTACTACTACTTCTACTACTACTACTACTACTACTACTACTACTACTACTACTGATCATATAGCAATACTACTGCTGCTGCTACTACTACTACTACTTACTACTACTACTACTACTACTTATCATATAGCAATACTACTGCTGCTGCTGCTACTACTACTACTACTACTACTACTACAATTCTACTTCTACTTCTACTACTACTGATCATATAACAATAGTACTTCTGCTACTCCTAATACAACTTTTAAATCGACACAACTATAACTACTACTGCTGCTACTACTACTACTACTACTATTACTACTACTACTACTTCTACTACTACTACTACCACTGATCATATAGCAATACTACTGCTCCTACTACTACTACTACTACTACTACTATTACTACTACTTCTACTACTACTACTACCACTGATCATATAGCAAATACTTCTACTACTTCTACTACTACTACTACTACTACCACTGATCATATAGCAATACTACCACTGCTCCTACTACTACTACTACTACTACTACTACTATTACTACTACTTCTACTACTACTACTACTACTACTGATCATATAGCAATACTACTTCTACTACTTCTACTACTACTACTACTACTACCACTGATCATATAGCAATACTACTGCTCCTACTACTACTACTACTACTACTACTATTACTACTACTTACCTACTACTACTACTGATCATATATAGCAATACTACTTACTACTTACTACTACTACTACTACTACTCTACCACTGATCTATATAGCAATACTACTGTCTCTACTACTACTACTACTACTACTACTACTCATTACTACTCTACACTACTCTACTATTACTACTACTACTACTACTACCACAACTCTACTACTTCTACTATTACTACTACTACTACTACTTCTACTCACTCTACTCTCATTACTACTACTACTTACTACTACTACTACTACCACTGATCATATATGTCACTACTACTCTACTACTACTACTACTACTACTACTATTACTACTCACTTCTACTCACTACTACTACCACTGGATCATATAGCAATACTACTTCTACTACTTCTACTACTACTACTACTACTACCACTGAATTCATATAGCACAATGACCTACTACTACTAGCACTACTACTCACTACTACTACTGTCTCTACTACACTACTACTACTACTACTACTATTACTACTCACTTCTACTACTACTACTTAATCACTACTACTACTGGATCATATAGCAATACTCACTGCTGCTGCCACCACTCACTCTACTCATTACCACTCACTACTCTCTACTACTCTACCATTACCACTACTCACTACCACCACTACTACAACTCTACTACTCTTACCATTACTACTACTCACTAATACTCACTCTCACTATTACTACTACTACTACTACTTCTACTCACTTCTAATATTACTCACTACTACTCACTGATCATATAGCAACACTCACTGCTGCTGCTACTCACCACTTCTAACCATTACCACTACCACTACTACTACCACTTCTACTCACTTCTATTATTACTACTCACTACCACTACTACAACTCCCTACTACTTCTACTCATTACTACCACTACTACTCACTTACTCTCTACTACTTCTACTATTACCACTACTCACTACTACTACTTCACTACTACTACAACTCTACTACTCTACTATTACTACTACTACTACTACTACTTCTACTACTTCTACTACTACTCACTGATCATATAGCAATACCTACTCTACTCACTACTTCACTACTACTACTACTACTACTCTACTCACTACTACTACCACTGATCATATATATAGCAATACTAACTACTACTACTACACTACTACTACTACTACTACTACTACTACTACCACTGATCATATAGCAATACTACTTCTACTACTACTACTACTACTACCACTGATCATATAGCAATACTACTACTACTACTACTAGTACTACTACTACTTCTACTACTACTACTTCTACTACTACTACCACTGATCATATAACAATACTACAGCGCTGCTGCTACTACTACTACTACTACTACTACTACTACTACTTCTACTACTTCTACTACTACTACTACTACTACTGATCATATAGCAATACTACTGCTGCTACTCCCAATAAAACTGTTAACATCGTCACAACTATAACTACTGCTGCTACTACTACTACTACTACTACTACTACTACTACTACTACTACTACTACTACTACTTCTACTACTTCTACTACCACTACTACTACTACTGATCATATAGCAATACTACTGCTGCTGCTACTACTACTACTACTACTACTACTACTACTACTTCTACTACTTCTACTACTACTACTACTACTACTACTGATCATATAGCAATACTACTGCTGCTGCTACTGCTACTACTACTACTGGTTTAGAATTATTCACACAATCGCAGCACTAAAACCTCATGTCATCTTTCAGAGGTTGCCCCAAGTCTCATCGGTGCAGGTCTAACTGCCCGCTGTTGGAAAAAACGGGACGTAAGTAGGGTCTAAGATTGACATAGTTTCATCCTGATGCTGAATGTCATTCTAATATTTCTTCTTCATCACATCTTTGTTATATTTACAGAAGGTTTCATTGACTATAATATTTTTCACCATCTTGATTTGAGTGTATACACTGACCGTAATGTAGTCTTAAAATGCCATTGTATATTAGACATAATTGTGTTACCTGAATGGTGTACAAAGCCCGTGAAACCATTATCGAACAACTTGCATATATATATTCCCTCTACATTCCAGTGAGCGCAGAAACTTCCTTTGATGACCTGAAAACATTGGCAAAGGTACGTAATATGTCAACCCAGATGATTTCTTATGAAGTACTATTTAAAATGCTCAAGCTGCAATATCCATTGTAAGAACCAACTAAACTATATCTAGAAACCTAAATATATGTGTGGCATAAGTTTAAGATTTTAAACCTTGTCCGTATTTTGACTTCAACCTCTGCTCCTACCCCGTCATTACCAATGCTACTCACGTCAACTAAAACGCACAGAAATGATCTGTAAACGAATTCAACAGAGCTTCGTCCTCAAAACTAGTTATCAGTTACCTAGACCTTTATGTGATTTAACTCTTCCTTAATATTTTAATTCCTGTCTCAATTTACAGGTCTTCTTCACGAAGTTGAGAGTGAGTATACACGATCTTTTGTAGATAATTTTAAGCTGACAGCTAAAACGGCAGCAGTCTTTTAGAATTTACATGGTGTGTAGATTAAAAAGTGCGTGAAATTGCATGACACTACATTGTGTCCTTCAATAAATAGTTAAGAGCCTGATCCCAATTAACTCTAATGAGCATATGTAGCAGATCGCTACAGTATCACATTTTGTGTGGTCTATCAGCACTTGTCCTCATTTCCAGATCTCGCCCCAACTGTCATCGAGAGTGCACTGCCCGCTCTTCTGGCTGGTGTTGGCAAGCGCGGAGTGTGAGTGACATAGTTGCAATATCTGCATATACTGCCGTGCCAATCGTTAAATGGATTCGCACTTTAACTGGGATGTCTTTGATGAAAGAAAGTGATTTTTCCCAATATACCTATTCTCACCCTCTTTCAAAAAATGGGCTTGTTTACATCTGTTCGATAAGGGTCTAAGATTGACATAGTTTCATCCTGATGCTGAATGTCATTCTAATATTTCTTCTTCATCACATCTTTGTTATATTTACAGAAGGTTTCATTGACTATAATATTTTTTCACCATCTTGATTCGAGTGTATACACTGACCGTAATGTAGTCTTAAAATGCCATTGTATATTAGACATAATTGTGTTACCTGAATGGTGTACAAAGCCCGTGAAACCATTATCGAACAACTACATATATGTATTCCCTCTACATTCCAGTGAGCGCAGAAACTTCCTTGATGACTTGAAAAACATTGGCAAAGGTACGTAATATGTCAACCCAGATGATTTCTCATGAAGTACTATTTAAAATGCTCAAGCTGCAATATCCATTGTAAGAACCAACTAAACTATATCTAGAAACCTAAATATATGTGTGGCATAACTCTAAGATTTTAAACCTTGTCCGTATTTTGACTTCAACCTCTGCTCCTACCCCGTCATTACCAATGCTACTCACGTCAACTAAAACGCACAGAAATGATCTGTAAACGAATTCAACAGAGCTTCGTCCTCAAAACTAGTTATCAGTTACCTAGACCTTTATGTGATTTAACTCTTCCTTAATATTTTAATTCCTGTCTCAATTTACAGGTCTTCTTCACGAAGTTGAGAGTGAGTATACACGATCTTTTGTAGATAATTTTAAGCTGACAGCTAAAACGGCAGCAGTCTTTTAGAATTTACATGGTGTGTATATTAAAAGGTGCGTGAAATTGCATGACACTACATTGTGTCCTTCAATAAATATTTAAGAGCATGATCCCAATTAACTCTTATGAGCATATGTAGCAGATCGCTACAGTATCACATTTTGTGTGGTCTATCAGCACTTGTCCTCATTTCCAGATCTCGCCCCAACTGTCATCGAGAGTGCACTGCCCGCTCTTCTGGCTGGTGTTGGCAAGCGTGAAATGTGAGTGACATAGTTGCAATATCTGCATATACTGCCGTGTGAATCGTAAAATGGATTCGTGTTTTAACTCGGATTTCTTACTATTTACGAAAGTGGGTTTTGCGCATTATATCTAATCTCATGTTCTTTTTTGCATTGTCTTGTTTAATTTTATTTTATTAGATTGTGATGGTCTCGTCCTGGTGATTGATGTCCTTCCAATATTTCTTTTTCTTGTAATCTTTGTCATATTAACGGAAGGGTTCATTCCACTTTCAGATATTTATTTCTACCATCTTGATTCGAATGTCTACACTGACCGAAATATTGTGTTAAACTGCCATTGTATATAAGACATACTTATGTTACTTAGGCGATCTAGAAACTGCATGAAATTAATAAGCAATTATTTTTCATCTGTATTTTCCACTCCACATTCTAGTGAACGCAGAAATTTCCTTGATGAGCTTAAAACATTGGCAAAGGTACGTAATATGTCAACCCAGATGATTTCTCATGAAGTAATATTTAAAATGCTCAGGCTGCAATATCCATTTTAAGAACCAACTAAACTATATCTAGAAACCTAAATATATGTGTGGCATAACTCTAGGATTATAACCCTTGTCCGTATTTTGACTTCAACCTCTGCTCCTACCCCGTCATTATCAATGCTGCTCACGTCAACTAAAACGCACAGAAATGATCTGTAAACGAATTCAGTAGAGCTTCGTTCTCAAAACTAGTTATCAGTTACCTAGACCTTTGTGTGATTTAACTTTTCCTTAATATTTTAATTCCTGTCTCAATTTACAGGACTTCTTCACGAAGTTGAGAGTGAGTATACACGATCTTTTGTCGATGGATGTATCTGACAGCTATAACGGCAGCAGTCTTCAAGATATAGTCGACATGCTATTTTAAAAGACAGTTCGTGAAATTGTATAACACTACATGCCTTTCAATATATAATTTAGAGTCTGATCCAGATTCTCATGAACATGTGTAGCAGATCGTTTCAGTATCATATCTTGTGTTTATTTATCAGCACTTGTCCTCTATTCCAGCTCTTGCACCAACTGTCATCGAAAGCGCACTTCCTGCTCTCCTTGCTGGTGTTGGAAAACGCGGAGTGTGAGTTTCTGTGCCATTAAACGTAGTTTATTTCATAATTTGATGTTATTGATGGTATTTAAAGTATAACCAGCTGTAGTATTTGTACCCATGCTCAGTGTTTGCAAAGACAAAGTGAAAGTGTTGTGCATGTTTGCTGACAGTGTGGAGGCGGGACTTCTGGGACATGTGAAGGATGAGATGCTGAATGTGGTGGACAAGCTGAAGGAGTCTGTGGAGGGAGCAGAGAAGGTCAGTAGCATCATTAACATCCGCCACATCCATGGCTTCATGTTTTCACGAGTCACATTTTCCCCAGTGCATGGACTTAAAGAATGTCATTAAACTCATGTTCAGAAGTTGTTAGATTTCAGCTTTCTGGGGAAAGATTTTATGGCATCCTTTGGGAGTACATTTCCATATTTTGACGCACCAGAGACAACAATAATCTCTGGATGGAAATATATATTTTCTTTAACATTTGGTTCTTTTGATGTATATTGGACTCTGCTGTAGAAGATATTTATCGATGTTTTGTCGCTCTTATTAACAAATTCATGTCGATGACATCAGATTTACAAATTGTGCAGCTTATATCATCCATCAATCCCCTTAAATCACAGACCATTTGAAGATCCACTAACTAATATTCGAAGGGTAATTAGTAGACAGGCCATATGCCCATATACGTAATTAGTAGATAGGCCATATGCTCATATAGGTAATTAGTAGACACGCCATATGCCCATATAGGTAATTAGTAGATAGGCCATATGCCGATATATGTAATTAGTAGACAGGTCATATGCCCATATAGATCATTCGTAGACAGGACATATGCCCATATAGGTAATTCGTAGACAGGACATATGCCCATATTGATGTATATATCAAATTTATGATGGTCAGAACAAAGGCAGAAACAGAATTACTTGATTTTGAGGCAGGTCAATTTGTGGAAAGACTACTTTTACTTTGTAAGTAAACCATTACACACGAACGTTTCTATAAATGCAATCTGGTGACAAACGGTCTCATGTTTCCGTGTTAAGATCGCCACGAACCTTGAGAGCAATCTGAAGACAGCTGCCCAGGGTCTGACCAGTGGCCAGGATGTCAAAGCCGTCGCCCAGATGGTGCTGTCTACGCTAGAGGCCGATGTCAAGTCAATGATGGGTGCGTGCATAGGCAAAGACTCTTACTTCAGTGCATTTGACTACGAACTACGAACTAGATTATGTTTCATACATGTGTTAGTGTTTGAATAATACGATGCTAACGTATGTTGCACATATAGAACCTCACTGAGATATATATCCTTTACAGAGAAAATGTGAACATTCTCTTGCCACATCATTGTGGCTAAGACCATACCCGACAACTCTGTTTTCTTGATTTTTTCAGATAAAGGCACATTTGACGTTGATATTGATGCGCTGATCAAGAATATTGTGCCCAACGCTGTTGCAAAGGTAAATACCATAATGGATTCCAATGAAGCCTTAATAGGCTTCCACTCAATGACGATATATTGATTCATATATTTACACATGAAGCAGTGAACATAGTTACACATAAGATGCCGCTTCCAGCTACAATGTCGACAGCGCATTGGGGATATTCATGACAGTTCTTTGTTTTCAGCTCTTCCCCAAGCACAGCCGTCGTCTTCTTATCGGCGATTTTATCAACGGACTGAAAGACACTCTGGGTGACGTCCTTGGTCTCGTGTCTGGCACCGCGTTTGGGGATCTTAAAACTTTCCTGGGAAACATTGAGTCAACTGCTGTGCAGTCTCTCAGCCCTGCTTTGGGTAACCTGAAGGGCCTTGCCCAGACAGTAAGTTCCGTGCAATCTCTCAGCCCTGCATTGGGTAACCTGAAGGGCCTTGCCCAGACAGTAAGTTCCGTGCAATCTCTCAGCCCTGCATTGGGTAACCTGAAGGGCCTTTCCCAGACAGTACGTTCCGTGCAGTCTCTCAGCCCTGCATTGGGTAACCTGAAGGGTCTTGCCCAGACAGTAAGTTCCGTGCAATCTTTCAGCCCTGCACTGGGTAACCTAAATGGCCTTGTCCAGACAGTACGTTCCGTGCAATCTCTCAGCCCTGCATTGGGTAGCCTGAAGGGCCTTGCCCAGACAGAAAGTTGTTTATAAACATTGAATTGACTGGCACAGACGGGACTATCTACAGAACCGTAACCTAAATTTCGTGGATAACCTTGATTCGTGGATCATCATGCTCTCTCGTAAGTTTCGCATGACGTCTCGAAGCGGTACTTTTGATGTACATATACAATGCCACGCCTCGCTGACAATAATGTTCCGAATCTCTGCATTACACATTACCAACAGTAAGTCTAATTGTCCAGCACTGAGATAAATAGCCCAAGATACTATGCCACCAAAACCAAATACCGTTAGCACCAACCTTCTCAGATCTTGTCGTCTGATTTCCTAGGTGTCAATACTTACTACAATGGACAGTCGTACATAGTGACATAAAGTAACCAACTCCATAATCCACGAAACAAGGTGACGTCACATTTTGTGTGCACACAGAAGGGTGATGATTGAAAATGGCTTCAATAAACAAACGTTTCATTCACGAGTGGAATATTAGGCATTTTCAATTTGCTGAATCAATGAATAAAATAATCAGTGAGTACGCAAAATGAAATCGTGCATTTAATATATGATTTTCGCCGCACTGTGTCCCTTATATCCACGAATCAAGGTTACGCGAGTGTAGGGAAATATTTGTGACCAGTGGCTCCCTATGAATGATGGTTCCATCGAAGCTTTGTAGGGAGTGCTTTCCCAGACAGTTGGTGCCATCGAATTATTGTATTCAGTGGCTTGTCATGCCTATATACACGGACACACAGTAGACTGATTGTTAGTATTCTCCACATTTCATTAACACACTTTCTTCTCACATACATGTGAGGATTTACACACGACCTCCACCACAGAAAAACATATCCACCTGGTCCATGCCCTTCCTGGAGAATACATGCATGGACAAGCAGGGATCTTTCCTGTGAACGTACACAGTATTTCATGAAGAAATGTAACAGTCTCTCTCCGCTGCTGTACAGAGACACCTGTACAATGGGACATCTAAATTCAACACCACATACATATACACAGATACTATGTACAATATTTTGATTCAGCAACACACACATACACAGACATGGTAAATACAATATCATATTTTGTACACATACATGACATATACAATAATATACCTCCGTTTACACAAATGCACACAAACATGAAATGTACTATATTACAAATCACACATGTACCATGAATACACTGTAACTGAAAGCTTACTATCTTTCAAAATGTTGATACACATGGTGCTTGGTCTAATGTAACTCTGTGTCTGTCCAGTTCCTGACCCACGCCGGACAAGCCACTGCACAGGTCGCTGCTGAGGCCGTCAAGTTCTTCCAGCCATTCCAGGCTCAACTCGGATCTGTCTTCACCCAGATCAAGAACGTAGCTGCCAAACTGACGGGTGCCTGAATGTCAAGGGATGTCGAATAAAATAACATATGAAACATTGCCTCCTTGTTTGTTTCTGGAAATATGACTACAGAGAATCAAGTACAATAGGGGTGGCAACATACACAGATGAAGAGTGATCATTTACTCACTCCTAGCACTGCGCGGTATTACCGGTATACCGTATGTCGCAATACGCTTTTCAAACGATACGTATTGCAATATTTATTTCTGAGACCTGGTATATTGGGTAAAGAACATATTTGAAGTTTTTGTCATTATCTTTATGGTTTATCCAAACACACCTTCATTCACAACAAATGTATTCCTTCGTTATTCAGTGACAAAACGGCATACTGTAATGCTATATATTGTATTACTGTAATGCTATATATTGTATTACTGTAATGCTATATATTGTATTACTGTAATGCTATATATTGTATTACTGTAATGCTATATATTGTATTACTGTAATGCTATATATTGTATTAAAACAATAGAATCCATGACTATGCAACCTAATTTTGAGATTGATGTTATAAGAACCATAGGATATATGTTTCGGGCTTAAAATGTAGAACAGAGGATCCACATGCACAATTAGTGGCACATACGTTTCGCAATACGGGTACCTGAATCGCAATACATTGCACTACGTATCGCAATACGGGTACCTGAATAGCAATATATCGCAATACACAACCTTACACCCTCCAACATCAAGCAGCACCTACAGCATCCCACATCAAGCAGCACCTACCCCCTCCCACATCAAGCAGCAACTACCCCCTCCCACATCAAGCAGCACCTACTCCCTCTCACATCAAGAAGCACCTACTCCCTCCCACATCAAGCAGTACTTACCCCTCCCACATCAAGCAGCACCTCCCACATCGGCAGTCCTGCCCACACATCAGCAGAACCTACTCTCCTCCCACATCAAGCACCACCTACTCCCTCCAACATCAAGCAGCACCTACTCCTCTCCCACATCAAGCAGCACCACTCCTCCCACTCAAGCAGCACCTACTCCCTCCCACATCAAGCAGCACCTACTCCCTCCCACATCAAGCAGCACCTACTCCCTCCCATCAGCAAACATCAAGCAGCACTTACCCCATCCATCAAGCAGCACATGCCCACATCAAGCAGCACTGCCCCCTCCCACATCAAGCAGCACCTACTTCCTCCCATATCAAGCACCACCTACCCTCCCACATCAAACAGCACTTACCTGCTCAAGCAGCCTACTACATCAAGCAGCACTCTACCCTCCTCACATCAAGCAGCACCTACTCCCTCCCACATCAAGCAGCACCTACTCCCTCCCACATCAAGCAGCACCTACTACTCCTCCCACATCAAGCAGCACCACATACTCTCCCTCCTAACCTCACATCAAGCAGCACTTACCCATCCCACATCAAGCAGCTACTCCTCTCCCACATCAAGCAGCACCCCACTCCTCCCACATCAAGCAGCACCTACTCCCTCCCACATCAAGCAGCACCTACTCCTCCCACATCAAGCAGCACCTACCTACCCTGCTCCTACATCAAGCAGCACGCCTACTCCCTCCCACATCAAGCAGCACCTACTCCTCCCACATCAAGCAGCACCTGCCACTCCCTCTCCACATCAAGCAGCACCCACGTCCCTCCCACATCAAGCAGCACCCCTCTCCATCAAGCAGCACCTCCTCCCACATCAGCAGCAGCACCTACGTCCTGCCTACATCAAGCAGCACCTACTCCCCTCCCACATCAAGCGGCACCTACTTCCCTCCCACATCAAGCAGCACCTACCTCCCACATCAAGCACCACTCTACTCCCCTCCCACATCAAGCAGCACCTACCCTCCCACATCAAGCAGCACCTACTCCCTCCCACATCAAGCAGCACCTACCCCCTCCCACATCAAGCAGCACCTACTCCTCCCACATCAAGCAGCACCTACCCCCTCCCACATCAAGCAGCACCTACTCCCTCCCACATCAAGCAGCACCTACTCCCTCCCACATCAAGCAGCACCTACTCCCTCCCACATCAAGCAGCACCTACTCTCCCACATCAAGCAGCACCTACTCCTCCCACATCAAGCAGCACCTACTCCCTCCCACATCAAGCAGCACCTACTCCCTCCCACATCAAGCAGCACCTACTCCCTACCACATCAAGCAGCACCTACTCCCTCCCACATCAAGCAGCACCTACTCCCTCCCACATCAAGCAGCACCTACTCCCTCCAACATCAAGCAGCACCTACTCCCTCCCACATCAAGCAGCAGCTACTCCCTCCCACATCAAGCAGCACCTACGTCCTGCCCACATCAGGCAGCACCTACTCCCTCCCACATCAAGCAGCACCTACTCCCTCCCACATCAAGCAGCACCTACGTCCTGCCCACATCAAGCAGCACCTACTCCCTCCCACATCAAGCAGCACCTACTCCCTCCCACATCAAGCAGCACCTACCCCTCCCACATCAAGCAGCACCTACTTCCTCCCACATCAAGCAGCACCTACTCCCTACCACATCAAGCAGCACCTACTCCCTACCACATCAAGCAGCACCACTCCTCCCACATCAAGCAGCACCTACTCCCTCCCACATCAAGCAGCACCTACCCTCCCAACATCAAGCAGCACCTACTCCTCCACATCAAGCAGCACCTACTCCCTCCCACATCAAGCAGCAGCACTCTACTCCCTCCCACATCAAGCAGCACCTACGTCCTCCCCCACATCAAGCAGCACCTACCCCCTCCAACATCAAGCAGCACCTACTCCCTCCCACATCAAGCAGCACCTACCTACTTCCCTCCCACATCAAGCAGCACCTACTCCCTCCCTCATCAAGCAGCACCTACTCCCTCCCACATCAAGCAGCACTTACCCTACCTCCCACATCAAGCAGAACCTACTCCTCCCACATCAAGCAGCACCCACATCAAGCAGCACCTCTCCCTCCCACATCAAGCAGCACCTACTCCCTCCCACATCAAGCAGCACTACCTACCCTCCCACATCAAGCAGCACCTACTCCTCCCACATCAAGCAGCACCTACTCCCTCCCACATCAAGCAGCACCTACTCCTACCACATCAAGCAGCACTTACCCTCCAACATCAAGCAGCACCTACTCCTCTACACATCAAGCAGCACCTACTCCTCCCACATCAAGCAACACCTCCTACTCCCTCCCACATCAAGCAGCACCTACTCCCTCCCACATCAAGCAGCACCTACTCCCTCCCACATCAAGCAGCACCTACTCCCTACCACATCAAGCAGCACTTACCCCCTCCAACATCAAGCAGCACCTACTCCCTCTACATCAAGCAGCACCTACTCCCTCCCACATCAAGCAAGCACCTACTCCCTCCCACATCAAGCAGCACCTACTCCCTCCCACATCAAGCAGCACCTACTCCCTCCAACATCAAGCAGCACCTACTCCCTCCCACATCAAGCAGCACCTACTCCCTCCCACATCAAGCATCACCTACTCCCTCCCACATCAAGCAGCACCTACTCCCTCCCACATCAAGCAGCACCTACTCCCTCCCACATCAAGCAGCACCTACTCCTTCCCACTTCAAGCAGCACTTACCCCCTCCAACATCAAGCAGCACCACGTCCTGCCCACATCAAGCAGCACCCTACGTCCTGCCCACATCAAGCAGCACCCTACGTCCTGCCCACATCAAGCAGCACCTACGTCCTGCCCACATCAAGCAGCACCTACCCCCTCCAGACGTGTTGGTATTTATTACCCACGTGGTCAACGTATAGGTAGTTGCATACTAATCTCGTACGTCACACGATTGTCGTATCACGTTGACCTGTGTCGTAACGACTTGACCTGAGATTCTGACGATTTGATTGGATAACCGTTGACCTCTCAGTTAGGTCAAGTTGTGACGGAACTACTTGTTCATTCATAACAAACACGTGAATTCATTCATTCTACAACTTAGATGCATTGTGGGAATGTAAACATTGCGAACGTTGCCGTGTCGCTGTTTAATTGTGAGTCGAACTGAGACATTATATATGCGTCGAAAAACATAAACGCAATGTTTCCACCAGTGATGTTAGCCGAGTGAAGCAGTTGCAAACCAAGAAACGAGGCGCTACGGAGTAGTTTACTGAAGGAGGCTGTATAGGCCAGTAGAAACTGCACTGAACCTAGACATTTCTGATAACAGGCCAAATTTGTGTTTAACCTGACCAGAAGGGTGTTATTGGTCACCATAAAAAACCCAAAGAAAATCAAGGTTGGGGAAATATATTTTTTGTGCATGGTGTTAGGGGTGAGGTCTATTGTCTTTTCACCCACATTTCAGCATGAATGCGCGTGTCACGGCTACATAGTTCATAACAAATTTTTTGTTTATCTTCATACTGGTTAGTATTTTCATTTATAAACAAGCCTACTTTCAACAAAATGTAAAATATTTTAATTATTTACCGATGTCGGCCATCTTGAATTAAATATGGCCGCCATTTTTAATTCAAGATGGCCGCCATATCACAATCAAGAAGGTCAGCTTCTATTGACTCTACTGTCATGAGGTCGGGAATCTCAAGGTTTATGGTTTCAATAATTTTGCTATATTTCATTAACTCTGCTCTTTACATTGCCTCATTTTAATAAGAAACATTCACTGACATCAATCTTCTGCATTGTTTAAATGAGTTTTGGATCAAAACTCTGTGTGAAGGAAATGGAGCGAGATGCAAAACTGTTTGCCTTTCTTGACATTAGTTTGCTTCTGGTTAATCCTGTCTATCAAATACAATGTTGTACCTGACTGATGCTGTTGGCAGTCTCATAATACACTGAATATTTTTTTGACAGTATCATTCCACATGTGATCGTCAAGCTCCATTAATTATGACATATGTATACGTATCCATTTTCTGTCAGTTACACTTTATTTCGAGGTGTGAGTAGACAGAATATGATAGTGATTGCTGTGAATACGTGGGCCGAAGTTATAAATATCTGAGGGACAACACGATTTCACTGCAGGTAATGGAAACATTCTTG